ATGTTGACAGAAACTAGACAAAAACTTTCTTCATTATCACAGCCATATAACCGACTGTCTGATTGGATCTCCGGGAGGTCAATTTTATTGGGGGTCATCACTTTTAGGAGGGAGGGATGGGGATTCTTGATGCTGGGGCGGATTAATAGAAATATCTCCAGATTTTAGATCTCCAGAGGTTGGCATCTCTGAGTTGAGAACCACCCCCTTAAAATGAATTTCGTGTGAAAATCATTTGACATGCTTTGTTTTTGTTTAAGTATTACAGTTGTAGTAATCAAAATTGAATTTAAAAGAAAATACAAATCCACTAGAAGTTTAAATACATTTTCGCCTGATTTAATTTTAACCTACAAACTAGTATCTCTACTAGTGTGGACAATGTCAGGCAGAAATGCGTCAATGAAAACCCAGTTAGTGTAGACAAGGCCAAATTAAGCCCCTGCAATGACATGGTTATTTCTTTGGGTTATTTCCATTATAACTACTAGCTGGGTAACGGTTACAACAAATTTGCTAGGGTTCATATTACATTGTTTTCATTATCTGAACTGTGGTCAAAAACTTTAGTAATCTTTGTTATAATGGGTTGGTAAAGAGCTCTGTAGTCTGGCCAGAATTCATGAGCTATTAAATGAGTTATTAAATGAGCTATTAAATGAGCTATTAATCTCAGTTTTGGTAGCTTGAAGTGGCTTAGTAATGCTGCTCACAACTCCTTATCTCCTAGATATAATGCTAATGATTTGCAGGTCACCTCCATATGACATGTTGTATTGTGCCAGGAAATATTAACTCCTCCTCCCCTCCCCTCCGCTCCCTACTTCATAACGTAATTAAGCGGTCTTCCTAGATTTTGAATACTGTGGAAATGTAAATGATAATAATATTAAATTTGGATACTTTAAGATAATCATATCAAATCACCTTTTCAGCAGAACCCCGCCCTTGATACAAGACAGTTTTAATACACGTTCAACCATTTTGTTTTTCTCGGCGAAAACTACAACAGTTATCTACATTTGCCTGCCTAATACAGACACCTGTTAAATGAACAATCAGACACTTTTCCTTGACCCCTGTAACATTTTCTCAGACAAAGTTACCCTCACCTAATTACCAAGGCTTCTATAGTAAGTTTATTTTTCTTTCTTAATAAGAGGCCATAATTGTCAACTATAATTTAAACAAATTCAAGCCCAGAAGGCTCACAGTTCAGTTCTGATTTTTTAAACAGTTCAGTTGATTTTTCACAGTTCAGTTCTGATTTTTTACAGTCCAGTTCTGATTTTTCACAGTTCAGTTGTAACTCTTTACAGTTTAATTCTGATTCTCCCACAGGCAGCCCAAGCTCAGTACTAGAAAAGCGGACGTGACTCTTACCGTGTTGCGCAACGTTTTATATTTATAAAGTTTTGTATGGAATGTTATCGGTTTGCTTTAAAAGAGAAAAAAATGTCTTGTTTTGAAATAAAATGGGCTTACCTTATTGCCTTGTTGTTTTCTTTGTTGATTCCTAGCGTCTCAGGCCATTTTGAAGCGTTTTCGGCGAGTTAGCGCTATGTTGGTGTTCAACTGCTAAAAGAAAGACAAGGCCGGAAACCTATTTTAGAAGTGTCCGTCGCCCGAAGCGAATAATTCCGCCAAAAAATTACCACCAGTCTCGATTCCTCCAGAAAATCAAAGCAGAGATGTT